GAGAGAGAGAGAGAGAGAGAGAGAGAGAGAGAGAGAGAGAATTTTTTTTAATATTTATTTTTTAGTTCTCGGCGGACACAACATCTTTGTTGATATATGGTGCTGAGGATCGAACCCGGGCCGCACGCATGCCAGGCGAGCACGATACCGCTTGAGCCACATCCCCAGCCCTAGACATTTCATTTAACTGGAACCATACAATCTATGTTCCTTTTTGACTGGCTAATTTTACTTAAAGTTTTCAGAGTTCATTCATATTGAAGTACAAATCAGTATTAAATTCCTTTGTATGGCTGTAGTGTAGGTATATACCATAATTTGTTTATCCATTCATCAAGTGATGCATATTTGAGTTGTTTCCAGATTGTAGTTGTTATGAATAATGCTGCCATGAATATTCACATACAAGTTTATAGCTGTGCATTTATGAAATCTCTTGGTAATACCAAGGAGTGGATATGATAACTATGTTCAACTTTTGAAAGAATTGCCAGATTGTTTACTGAAACATATATCCTATTTTACATTCCCACAAACAACATATATAGGTTTCAGTTTCTCTACATCTTCAACACTTGTTGTTATGTCTTTTTTATTACATTCACCCTAGTAGCTGTAAAGTGGCATCTCAATGTGGTTTTAATTAACACTCCTCTCATGGGCAATGATGTTTAGTATCTTTTTTTAGTATGTGTCTGTTGGCCATCTATGGTCCTTGGAAAAATATTTATTTGTCTACTTTAAAATTGGATTATTTGTCCTAAATTTTAAATGCTCTTAAGGTTCTATTTCCTTTAATTATTGATTTAAATTTAAATCATAGATCCAAAAGCAAGTTAAAATTAATCATTCCTTTCATCATCCTTCTACTTCAGATCATTCACACCTGTTTATCATTCTGCCACTATATCTCATCAAACTTAACTATTCATTTGGCATTAAGATTTTAAGGGAAGAGAACACATCTATTTTATCTCACATTGCACATATATTTTCCTACACTACAAACCACACTGCTTTCCATATAGAATTTCATAAAACTGGAATGAACTGACTTGACTTGATACACTTAATATCCTTCAATGAAGTATACATTTCACTAACTACATTACAAAACTCCACTAAATAAATGACTAAGTTAGCCTTTGCAGAAAAATACCAATATTTTTTTACTAGGAAATTTTAAGTTGTACCACTTTAAATATACTTATAAGTAAACATTCTCAACGCTATTTTTTTACTATGCAGAAATACACACACACACACACACACACACACACACACACACACACACACACACAATGGAATATATAACTCAAACTATTGTGTTTTTTAACGTTTTACCAGTGAGGAAAACATTTTCTAAGAATGACAATTCTATATTCAATTTTGCGGTATTTACCTGTAATGTTTCCTAACATATCTTTATTGTGACAAGCAGAATCCTCTGTTTCACCATCTTTAAAATTGCCTATTTCTCCATAGTAAAGAGCAATCCCAAGCTGCATTATACGAATAAACATAGGCAACTGCTGATCTGTGATAGAAAGTTTCAGACTTTCTACTAAGGTATGAATCTGTATTTTGAAAAACAAAAGACAACAAAAGCATATTTAATGGGAATACCTTTTAAAATGAGAGAATAAATTTCAAAGGTATTAAAATGCAAGATCATTTGAGAAACACTGATGTACCAACTTTCTAAAAATTAAGCCAAAATAATATTTACTCTAAAGCTTACAGATTAAGTAAATTTTTGCTATAATGATTAGCAAACTTCAGATAAAAATGGATTAACAATGCAAATACAAATAGAATAAACAGAATATATATTTTCATTAGATTTACACATAACTATTCCATAAAAAAAAGTAACCAAATACCTACAGTATAATACTTATTCTCCCCCATGGGGGTAAGTGGGAGATTTCTGTCAAAACCAACAATGAAAATTTCATGATGTCATTTTAGTAAAACAGTAATCACTTATCCCAATTTTATTAACCAAAAAGAACACATATGCATTCTCAAACCATATGTTTGAGAATATGTAATATGTTTGAGAATAAGTAATAAAAGAATAATAACTATTTATGTATGGAAACAATAAAATTTTACTGTCAAATATAGAAAATCAAGTGAAATATGTTATAAAGTTCTTCAAATTTTAAATATATTTAAATATGACATAAAATTTGTAACATAAATCAATTATAAGAAATTGAATTAATTACTAAGAAGAAGGATATATAACATTCGAAATTCTTAAAGAAACATAATGGAATATAAACACTGCTTCAGTATAATGGTTTCCTGCAGTTACATAAACATGAAAGAAAATCAATTAAGTCATGAAGTCAAGTTTCTTAGGCTTATTTTGACTAACTAGTATTTGAGTGTCTATGAAAAACAAGTAATTAATGGTAATCATATTTTTATAGCTCAAGGCCCAAAATAATTATATTAGTAAGAAGGAGAGAATGATATATATGGGAGAAGGGGTATAAAATACTGTATTTCATATAAAGGAAAGGTCTCTTCAAACTGACCTAAAACTAATATGCTGAATAAACCATGAAGAGATTTTTTTTTTGAATGTGGGGAAAAGAAGCAGTAAAAGGAGTTATGTAACCTTGCTAAGCTTTTCTTAGTTGAGATTTCTGTAACAACCTTTTATAAATAATGTGTTCTACCAACAGAACCAGTGATGAGCAATTTTAGCAAAATCAATGAACAAAGAATTTATCCTTCACACATACATTAAAAGTTCTTTAGAAATCATCAAGATGAATCCTCATTAGAAATATGAACAAAGAATGACCTTCAAAATTCCAACTCACTAAAAAACATCAATATACTTGTGTTATTTTTTGCTCAATAGGTTAGCAATGTTTTAAAAAATAAAAAGTATGATCACAAATAAGGCTAACAAGAGTATCATACAAGCACTCCCCTTAATGTTCATCAAAGCATAACCTGATTAAACCTCTCTAGAAATAATTCTACAATCCCGATTACAGGTCTTAAATTTGGGGGGTGGTATCAGGGATTGAACTCAGGGGCATTCAATCACTGAGCCAAATCCCCAGCCCTATTTTGTATTTTTTTTAGATTCAGGGTCTCACTGACTTGCTGACACTGGCTTTGAACTCACCACCTTCCTACCTCAGCCTCCTGAGCCACTGTGATTACAGGCGTGCACCACCGTGCCCAGCTAAAATTTTTCTAAATATATTTACAAATATAGGAATTTATCTTAAGAAATTAATCAGAGATGTGGCCAACTATTTATCTGCAGACTTTCTATGCCTCTGAATAGTTACAAAGTAAATTTTAGAAAGTAGAGAAAATGATAAATAAATTACGTACCCATATGATCTGTTTCTCATAAATATAGGTCTCTATGTCATGTTTCACACAAAATATGGAAAATTATAAACACCTACTCAAAAATATGAACCAATATAATCAAAAACTACTTAAGCATATGTGAAAGGTTTAAAAAAAATTAAGATATCTGCAAATATTTGGAAATTACCCTGTCTTTGAGGTGATTAATGAATTAACTACATCTCTTTAACATATATTTTCTACAACTAGAATTGAAAGAATCATAGGTCTAATCAAAAATTGCAAATATTATACTAAAGTATTAATAAAAAATTTTTAAATGTATTTCACTTGCACATAATACAGTGATACCCTATATGTGGTGATTACCAGAATCAAAAACCACATTGCAGAAAGCTTATTTATACTAATGTACATTTCACAGTGAAATGTTATGCAAATCAACTTTGAGAACACACAATGATATATATCTACAGTAAGTTCTTCCTGAAGTTCACAATTTTTACTTTGCTCCAATTTATCTACATCCTAGAATATACAATTAAATTTGCACCAATGATCAATAAGATTATTTCATATAAGAAAATTTCCAAACATCCATTACCTACTTTTTTTCAATAACACAAAAATTTATTGATTTAAAAATAAAAGTACTAGAACAAAATGTCGATAACTAATAAAATTATGTTGGAACAAAGAAATCTTTAGAAATATAACATGAAAGGCATAATCTGTAAAAAAAAATATATATCAGATTAAATTATAAATTTAATGATCATATATTTATAGCTCAAGGCCCATGGTTTCTAACTATCTTCACTGTGTGATCCACTTTATTTTCCAGGTTGTTAGGCCATTAACATTCAGGGTTATTATTGAGACATGATTTGTATTCCCAGACATTTTTATTTATTTTTGGTATTTAACATGACTTGGTTTCTCCTCCATCCATTTACCTGCAAATGCCATTATATTATTCTCTTTTATGGCTAAGTAATATTCCACTGTGTATATATGCCACATTTTTTAATCCATTCTTCTACTGAAGAGCATCTAGGTTGCTTCTACAGTTTAGTTATTATTAATTGTGCTGCTATAAACATTGATGTGGCTGTGTCCCTGTAGTATGCTGTTTTTAAGTCCTTTGGGTATAGACCCAGGAGACAGATAGCTGGGTCAAATGGTGATTCCATTCAGTTTTCCAAGAAACCTCCATACTGCTTTCCATATAGGCTGCACCAATTTGCATCCCACCAGCAGAGTATAAGCGTACCTTTTTCCCCACATCCTTGTCAACACTTATTGTTGTTTGTCTTCATAATAGCTGTCATTCTGACTGGAGTGAGATGAAATCTTAGAATGGTTTTGATTTGCATTTCTCTAATTGCTAGAGGTGACGAACATTTTTTCATATTTTTGTTGACTGTATATCATCTTCTGAGAAGTACATCTTCAGGTCCTTAGCCCACTTATTGATTGGGTTATTTGTTTTCTTGGTGTTTAGCTTTTTGAACTCACCACTTCATATACCCTAGTGATTAGTGCTCTATCTGATGTGTGAGGGGTAAAGATTTGATCCCAAGATGAAGGCTTTTTATTCACCTCACACATTGCTTCTTTTGCTGAGAAACTTTTGAGTTTGAGTGCATACCATTTATTGATTCTTGATTTTACTTCTTTTGCCACAGGAGTCTTACTAAGGAAGTTGGGGCCTAATCCCACATGATAGAGATTAGTGCCTACTTTTTCTTCTATTAGACACAGGGTCTCTGGTTGTATTCCTAAATTCTTGATCCATTTCGAGTAGAGTTTCATGCATGGTGATGGGGGTTTAAATTCGTTTTGTTGCATATGGATTTACAGTTTTCCCAGCCCATTTTTTAAAGAGGCTATCTTTTCTCCAATGCATGTTCTTGGAACCTTTGTCTAATAAAAGAAAATTGTAATTTTGTGGGTTAGGTTCTGTGTCCTCTAATCTGTACCACTAGTCTACCACCAGTCTGTTTTGGTGCCAATACCATGTTGTTTTTGTAACTATTGGTCTGTATTATAGTTTAAGGTCTGATGTACTGATGTCACCTGTTTCACTCTTCCTGCTTTAGCTTTTCTGGGTCTCTTATTTTTCCAGAAGATTTTCATGATTGCTTTTTCTTTTTCTGTGAGGAATGTCATTGGAATTTTGATCAGAATTGCATTAAATTTGTATAATGTTTTTGCTAGTATGATCATTTTGGTAATATTAATTCTGCCTATCCAAGAACAAAGCAGATCTTTCCATCTTCTAAGGTCTTCTTTGATTTCTTTCTTTAGGGTTCTGTAGTTTTCATTGTATATATGTCAGTTAAGTCTAAATTATTGATTGTATTATTGAGTTCTACAGTTTCTTTGTTCAGCTTTTGTTTGGAAGATGTATCTAGTGATGAAAGAGGTGTGTTAAAGTCACCCAAAATTATTGTGTTGTGATCTATTTGACTCTTGAATTTGAGAAGAGATTGTTTGATGAACATAGATGCTCCATTGTTTGGGGAATATATATTTATAATTGTTAATTTTTGTTGGTGTATGATTACATTGAGCAGTATGTACTATCCTCCTTTTTTATCCTTTTTGATTGACTTTAGTTTGAAGTCTACTTTATTTGATATGAGGATGGAAACCCTTGCTTGCTTCCACAGTCCATGTGAGTGGTATGATTTTTCCCAACCCTTCACCTTCAGTCTGTGGATTCCTTTTTCTATGAGATGAGTTTCTTGGAGGCAGCATATTGTTGGGGCTTTTTTTTTTTTTAATCCAATCTGCTGTACTGTCTTTTGATTGGTGAGTTTTGGCCATTAACATTCAGGGTTATTATTGAGACATGATTTGTATTCCCAGACATTTTTGTTTATTTTTGGTATTTAACATGACTTGGTTTCTCCTCTTAGATTTTCCTTTAGTGTAATCCCTCCCTCTGCTGATTTTCATCATTGTGTTTCATTTCCGCTTCTTGAAATATTTTGCTGAAGATGTTCTGTAGTAAAGGCTTTCTAGTTATAAATTCTTTTAACTTTTGTTTATCATAGGTTTTTATTTCATCACCAAATCTAAAGCTTAGTTTTGCTGGATATAAGATTCTTGCTTGCCATCTATTCTATTTGAGGGCATGGTATATGTTGTTCCACGATCTCCTGGCTTTGAGAGTCTGGGTTGAAAAATCTGCTGAGATACGAATAGGTTGCCCCCCTATGTGATCCAATTCCTCTCTCTTGCGGCTTTTAAGATTCTATCCTTATTCAGTATGCTAGGCGTTTTTATTATAATGTGACTTGGTGTAGATCTGTTGTAATTTTGTACATTTGGTGTTCTGTAAGCCTCTTGTATTTGTTTTTCCAATTTGTTCTTCTTGCTTGGGAAATTTTCTGATATTATCTCATTGAATGTGCATTCCTTTGGTTTGAAACTCTGAACCTTCCTCTATCCTGATAACTCTTAGATTTGGTCTTTTAATGCTGTCCCATAACTGTCCCATAATTCTTGGATGTTCTGTTCATAGTTTCTAACTATCTTCACTGTGTGATCCACTTTATTTTCCAGGTTGTATACTTTGTCTTCATTATCTGACATTCTTTCTTCCAAGTGATCTAGTCTATTGGTTATGCTTTCTACTGAGTTTTCTATTTAATTTATTGTATCCTTCATTTCAAGGATTTCTGACTGGTTGTGTTTGTTGTTGTTGTTGTTGTTGTTGTTTCAGAGTCTCTATCTCTCTCTTGAAGTAATCTTTTGCTACCTGTATTTACTCTCTTATCTCATTGTTGGAGTGATCAAATTTTGCCTGTATTTGCTCATTTAGGTCATTCTGTAATTCAGAGACCATTTTAATTATGAACCTTCTGAACTCCTTCTCTGACATTTCATCAACTTCACTGCCCATGGATTCTGTTATTATAGTATTTGGGGTACTTTCCTCCTTTGTTTTTTCACGTTGTCTATGTGTCTTCCTTTCTTGCAATATGGATCTGAGATATAATAGTTTGTTCCCTATATTCTTATAGTACCCATGCAAATTGTCTGTACCTCACCTTGATGTTGGGCTTCTGGACCCTGCTGGTGTTCCTCAATGGATGCTACTGCATCCTGGATCTAGTTCCTATGCAAGTTGTTGTGGGTGGATCTGGGACAACAGGCTTAACCTCCAGTGGTAGTCTGCTGGTTGGAAAAGACAGTCCTGCGCCAGAGGCAAGGCTCTGGCGGGTAACTGGCCCGCCAGTGGAGGGGTGAACCAGGCCTTCTGAGAGCCTGGGTCCCAGGTGGGCTGGTGTGGGCATTCTGGGCTGGATCTCACCCATTACCTGCTTTCAAAATATTTTAAATGTACCTTCTCATTCCTTCTCATTCTCCAGATTAGTAAAACATCCAAGGCTAAAAAAAGTAAGCTTAGTTAACATTTTTTCATACCTATATTTGCCAAAGAAACAAATTCAAAAATAGAAGGAAAAAATAATAGTTTTGAAAAAACCATGGTAGAAGATAAAAGTAACATAAAGATGGCTGAAAAACAAACAGATTTTATTTAGAGATAAAAAGTATGGTAAAGCTACATAATGAAAATATGTTTTAATAAATTATGTAAAAATCAATATTTATATAGGCACACAAAAGCAGGAAATACTATTATTATTCAGAGTTAGGGCCAGTCTTCCTATCACAGAATTATGGTAATCAGAGGCAAGTAATTCAATAATAAAAATGTATCCCACATTGAAACTTAGTTAATAAGCTCAAAGTTATTGTGTGAATTCGTCCGAGAAAAATAGGCAGCAGGACGATATTCATAAAACAATTAAGAAACAAAATATGACGGAATTTATACTTATATACCACATTGAAAATATATACCGTTAACTTAAAGACCAACAAATTTTCATGTTAATCAAAAGACATGTCCTGAAAAACTCCCAAACTGTAAAATTTTAATTATATATTGAAATCATGGATCAAAACATAAAACTTCTGAAACCAACGAACTCTAAAGTTAGCAATATAAAGCCTTATAAGATTATCTAAGAAAAAGAGAAAATAACTATTGTTAACTAATCATGCTGAAGAAATTATAAGAATTAAAATATAGATTCCTGATATTTCGACCACTATGAGTATACATTTCTCTGTGTGGTATTGAAAACTGAACCCCCAATCTCATGTTTTGTTTTTGTTTTCTTTTAATTCTTCTTAGTTATATACAACACCAGGACAAACCCTGATATTATCACAAAAACGTGGAACACATCACTAGAATTCAGTCCCTAGTAATTCCCCCTCATCCCTTCATTCCCGCCCCCCTTCCCACTGATACTTCTTCAATCCATTTACAGTTTCCTATTTTTTTTAATTAGTGTCCTATGGATACACCTAATGCCCAGATCCACCATGCTATATCCAGATCATGCTATTTTTTCATAAGATCTCTTCTATCAACTTGAGGAGAAACATTAATAAATAGCTAAACTTAAAAATGGAAATTATAACAATATAAAACAAGAAGATTGTCCCCAAATATTTCTAATATATTAAACACATACAAAAAATTGTAAATATAAAAATTATGAATACACAAAAAACTTTATAAAAATGAATGCCATATATATTCATGAGATTAATTTTTTCTTGTCTTTCCTTTGTGCATGTAAGCATGCACAAGAGCCAATAAACAAAAGAGACTTGTTTATTTAATTACAGAAAAAGAGACACTTACTTTAATAACAGATGGCATCTTGGAATTTAGGTTATCATATGTAAAATGTAGACGAGTTCTGAAGGAACATTTGTACAGTAAAGGGTCCTGGTAAAATTCTATTTTACCACTGGCATTTCGTTTATCAAGACAAACTGTACAGTCAGAAAAATTGATAACCTTTCTTAGCACCAGATCAGTTGCTACAAAGAAAAGAAAAACACTTTAATTACAAATGAAAATTAGAGGAAAAGGGCAACTATTAATTATTAGTACAAGTAGCAATTAAATAAATACAGCAAAATAATATTCATGAAACATTTAATGCATGTCATATCCTATGAAAAGAATTTCTCATGTTTTATATCATTTAAATATTCCAACAATTACATTAAATAGGAAAAAATATGTGTATAAAGAATCTGAGGCCTAAGTAGATTGCCCCCTAAGTAGATTGCATGACAAGTATCCAAAACTGAAGACAAAAAGTAGAAAAATATTCACCATAGTTCTTTCCTACAATAAGATAATAACATCTTGAAAACCCAAATCTGAAATAAACTTCTAAACAATAGCATTTTTTAGTATTTGTATAGCCACTAAAAAGCCATTGCTACTTTAAACCCACATTGTTCAATGATAGTCAATAGCGGTGGCTATTTAAACTTATGTTTAAATTAATGTAAAAGACAACAATAGGATTAGCATTTAACAAGCACTCATTAATGAAAGACATCATTTTTTATTTATTCTAATTTGTTATATGTAACAACAGAATGCAATTTAATTTATATTATACATACAGGGCACAATTTTTCATGTTTCTGTTTGTTCACAAAGTACAATCACACCATTTGTGACTTCATTCATGTACTTAGAGTAATGATGTCTAACTCATTCCACCATTTTTCCTACCCCCATAATCCCTCCCATTCCCTCCCTTCCGTTTGCCCTATCTAAAGTTATCTATTCCTCCCTTGCTCCGCCCCCATCCCCATTATTTATCAGCATTCTTATATCAAAGAACACATTTGGCATTTGGCTTTTTGGTACTGGCTTACTTCACTTAGCATGATATTCTCCAACTCCAACCATTTACCTGCAAATGTCATGATTTTATTCTCTTTTAATGCTGAGTAATGTTCCATTGTATATATACACAAAAGTTCCCATATCCATTCATTACTGATGGGCATCTAGGTTGGTTCCACAGTTTAGCTATTGTGAATTGTGCTGCTATAAACATTGATGTGGCTGTGTCCCTGTAGTATGCTGTTTTTAAGTCATCTGGGTATAAACCAAAGAGTGAGATAGCTGGGTCCATTCCATGTTTTCCAAAGAATCTCCATACTGCTTTTCAGATTGGCTGCACCAATCTGCAGTCCCACCAGCAATGTATGAGTGTGTCTTTTCCCTCACATGGTCACCAACACTTATTGTTTGTTTACTTAACAACTACCATTCTGACTGGAGTGACATGAAATCTTAAGAGTAGTTTTGATTTGCATTTCTCTAATGGTTAGAGATATTGAACATTTTTTTCATTTATTTGTTGATTGAGTCTATATCATCTTCTGAAAAGTGTCTGTTCAGTTTCTTGGCCCATTTATTGATTGGGTTATTTGTTTTTTTGGTGTTTAGCTTTTTGAGTTCTTTATATACCCTAGATACTAGTGCTCTGATGTGCAAGTGGGAAAAATTTTCTCCCAAGCTGTAGGCTCTCTATTCACCTGATTGTTTCTTTTGTTGAGAAGAAGCTTTTTAGTTGGAATCCATCCTATATAAACCTATTAGGAAAGTTCTATTGTGTTCCTATATAAAAATGAAGAAACTCAGAGAATAGTTCACCCAAGGTTATATAGAAACTTACCCAAGGTCATATACAAACTCAGTTAGTGCTAGCAACTGAAAAAAAAAAAAAAACACCACACCATCTCAAGTAACATTTTCAAAAGGTGCTTACAATAGATTTGATACTCAAAAATCCAATTCCATAAAGCATATATTATAACTAATAATACCTATCCCAACAAACCTAAACATTTTATATTTTCTTCACAGCTACATTTTCGATACTTAATACAGTGCCTACCTACCCTGTAGAACAGAAGTAAACAGTACTAAATAAATGTTTTTTTTAAATCGTATTGGTGCTAGGAATGTTGCTTAAGCAGTAGCGCGCTCGCCTGACATGCGTGCGGCCCGAGTTGGATCCTCAACACCACAAAGATGTTGTGTCCACTGAAAACTAAGAAATAAATATTTTTTAAAATAATAATTAAAAAAATAAAATTTTTTATTAATTTTATTAATAATTTTTTATTATTCATTACATCATTACTCTAAGTACATGTGTGAAGACACAAATGGTGTAACTCTGTGTACAATCAGAGATATGAAAAATTGTTCTCTATTTGTGTACTATGCATTGTAATGCATTCTGCTGTCGTATGTAACAAATTAGAGTCAATTTTTTAAAAGTAAAAACCAGCAAAAAAAGTATCATTATTTAATAGCTCTTTTAAGATACGCAGAAAAATGCAGCAACTAATAGTTAAAAAGAGGCTTTAAGATAATCAAAATTTTCCAAATGTGCTGTAGATTATACATAAGCCTAAAACAGATAAATCAGATATATTAGTTTGTCATTAGCAGGCTTTGTGAAAGCAACATGCTGCCTTTTCCTCTTCAAAAATATTAAAAATTCAAAGCAAATATTTAATTTTTATCGCTTCAACCCATGACCTACAAAATATTATGCACCACATTTGAAATAAGCATTATGAAGTAAGAAGAAATAAAAATTAAGAACCTTCAAAATCAAGTCTACTTGTTCTTAATCTCAGATTTTATTAACCTCCTATAATTATACGCTACATTTGTATATGTACATTCCCCCCACACACACTGGAGGCAAAAAGCTTTTAATAGATTCACCCAAAAGCCAACTTGTGCAATAAAAGGTTTTAAAAAATGAAGGCAACTGCTTTATTTATGGAAAAAATATACTATGTTCTTGACATTTACTCACCAGAAATATCCATAAATGCACGATCCCATAATTCACCCACTGTATAGCATTCTGCAGAAGTGATATTGACTGAAAGAACAATATCATCTTCAACATATTTTAGTATGAGATTATTTATAACAATGTTTACATTATTTACAACTCGTCTAATCAGACTTTGCACATACCCTATAAAGTAGAAAAAAAAGGGTCCAATTAGCCACAAATCTACCAATGAATAATTAATTCTTAAATTGCTGTTAGACTTAACAGATGTGAAAAGTGGGTATTATTTAAGAAAGAAGAATCAAAAGTTCACATAGGTTAAAAACTTGCTCAAGTGAACAGTTAATAAGGAGCATATTCAACTCAACAAAAACTTATACCAAGAAGTTCTATAATGAAGCATACATGCACTAAGAGAAACCACAGACACCTAATCTTTGTTAAAATATAATGCTAAACCCCATATAATGATTATACTATAGAAATATTTTATCTGGTTTCTGCCCATTTTATAAACATGTATACATATTTAAAATGCAGCAATGTTATTATAAGGTGCTATATTGTATGTATGAAAACAGTATCTATCTTCTTTACAGCTGTATTTTCAATACCTACTACATGCTTACTTATAAAACATAATAATACTAAATAAATGACAGTTATTAAAAATTATATCATTATTTAATAGCTCTTTTAAGATAAGCAGAAGAATGCAGCAAGTAATAGTTAAAAAGAAGCTTCAGGGCTGGGGTTATAGCTCAGTGGTAAAGCACTTGCCTAGCCTGTACGACGCACTGGGTTAAAACCTCAGCACTACATAAAAATAAAATAAAGTATTGTGTCCATCTACAATGAAATATTTTTTTAAAAAGGCTTCAAGATAATCAAAAATTTCCAAAAGTGCTCTAGAATATACTTAAGCCTAAACATATATTGATCAGATAGATATATTTGATACACACACACACACACACACACACACAATAAATTAAAAGATGAGCTTCTTTTTGAATGAACAACAATCATCCTCTTCCCTCTTTAGCCATAAAAATATCCAAAAGTTATGCCTAAGGGAAAAAAAGTGAAACATGATCATCCTGATGAATTTAACTATATTCACTTAATAACATGCAATAATGAAACAGGTAGAGGAATGAAGAAGTGAAAAAGAAAACATAAAAAAAAAAGTTAAAAGGGCCGGGGTTGTGGCTCAGTGGTAGAGTACTTGCCTAGCATGCATGAGGCACTGGGTTCAATCCCCAGCACCACATACAATAAAATAAAGGCATTGTGTCCATCTACAACTATAAAGATATTTAAAAAAAAAAAAAAAGTTAAAGAATACAGTGAAGATAAAAGAAAAAGTAATGTATGGAAAGAAAGGGACTGAACCAAAACAATGAGAATAGGAAAATACAGAAATAGATATAATAATTTTTAAAAACTAACGCAAAACAATGAAAGTAATTAATGAACACTCTTTTTCTCCATAGGCTACTTAGAATTTTCAAAAGTTTTCTTTTAATTTCATGCTATTGTGGAATAATCTAAAATTCTCATATTTCCCATATAAAAAGTACATAAACAAACATATTATTGAGGAACTTAACTGAAAATATAAATAAAACTAATTGAATATAAACAGTATTTTAAAAGACAGGGAAGAAAAATAAAAACTCTTCATTTTACTAAAGTGCACATTATACTATAAAAAATATTTAAAAGATAACTAAAATTTTAGCTTTTTCAAGAAAAAAATACACCTTTGCATTCTTTAAAACAGAACTTTACTGGACAAAACTGAATGAACTTCTTCTGTCAGCAGATGATATTAACAATATCTACACTAAAGCCTCCTAGGAAAAAGCTTATTATCTATTCAATTATAACATGTTTGCAAAAAACACCTCCTTCATTTATTTCCACTGGATGCAAACAGGAAAGAAATGTAATACAAGTTAGACCCAAGGTTTTTCCTATATGAAAACTATTAAGAGTTATTAACACACCAGTTATCATATGCTATAAAATTAACACAATAGCAACTCAATTCATAATAGCATTAGCTATGGAACCAACCTATGTGCCCTTCAATAGATGAATGGATAAAGAAAATTTGGTATATACACAGAAAGGAGTATTACTCAATCATAAAGTAGAATGACTATATAACATCTGCCAGCAAATGGCTGGATTTAGAGACTATCATGCTAAGTGAAGGAAGTCAGTCCCAAAAAACCAAAGGTCCAATGTTTACTCTGCTATATGAAAGCTAACGCACAATAAGGTGGGGCAGAGGGAGGTTGAGGAGAACAGAAGTAGAGTAAATTACAGAATGGGGAATGGTGGAAGGGGGCAGGATAAACAAAGGAATGACAGTGACATTAATCTGACATAATTTTCCATGTACCTATATGAAAACAACACAGTTTGTTGAATTCCACCATCATGTTCAACCATAATCGCACTCTAAACTAGAATAAGATATATTCCATGCTTGTATATTTATATCAAAATGGATTCTGCTGTCATGTGTAACTAAGAAAAAAAAAAAGATCCAACTTTGGGATTTCTTTTCCAGCTTAATAAACCACATTTCAAGTCTACATTGTTACGTGCATAGAATCACTCTAAAATTTTTGAAGAACTATATCTTTTGTTATTATTTTATCTCTATTAGTTATCTCAATGGTTTTTTTCTTTCACTTTTATTTTCCTTCATTTTCGCCCTAAAACTGCAAGTTTATTTTGGGTATTGTTTGTTTGTTATGTCATTTCTCATCCTTTCATCTTCAATTTTTCATGCCTCTTTCTTTTATGTTGTTTTGGATACCACACAAACCTGGACATAAGTACTGTTTCCATTTAGTGTCCAAGATAAAATATTACTTGTGCTTCATTAGAACTCTTTTTCCTTTGAGCTTACAAGGTCTCCTACACTAAACAGTTAATTCTTTCAGAGAAAAGGTGGCCTTGAGTGAGCTGCTCTACAATATTCTTATTGCCCAAACAATTTATTTTAGGGAACTGAACCACCTGCCCTCAACAAATATTTTTAAATTCATAATTAGAATGAAATAAAGACTCTTCATATCATATTTGCTATTACGAATAAAATATAAACATCAGATAGCTTTATAGTTATTAACAGGAAAATAGTTTGAAGCAGATTTTAAAATGGATGATACGTTAATGAGAAAGTACATCTATACATCTATACAAGGATATCATTCAGTTTTAGTGCACTTGCCTAAAACACCAAAGATGAATTTGTGCCTTTCATTCCAGAATGTGGATTTGTTACTAAGATATAATTTCTAAGATACAAATAATATCCATGCAAATAATTTGCCTCAATAAAATATGAGAAGATTATGTATCATTTCCAACCTGGAAATATTAAGAAATAGTTAGGTCTTCTCCAGACTCTCCTCTTGAAAACATGCTGAAACCAAAATAGTCTGAATTTCTGGTAGGAGACTGTCTTTGTATTTGTATGTTTTTTAAAAATATGTTTGTTGTGTTAAGTCACTGAAATTCAAAAACTAACTTGTCCACCAGTTAATATTTCCCTAACTTACACAATCTGTGTAACTTTTAAATATAAAAAATGAGTCTGACCAGAACACTTTAATGCACAATGTTAAACAGTGAAAGCACTGAAATGTTAAAGCATTAAAAAAAAGAAAATATGAAATAAGTTCTGCTTTTTTTTTTAATCATTTGCATGAGGCCCTAAGTTCAAACTCTGGCAATGCATTTTAAAAGGGAAGGAATGGAGGGAGGGTGGGAGGAAGGGAGGAAGAAAACCAAGCCCAATATGGTAAGGACTTAAGCACATTTACTCACACACACTTTTCTCTATTTCATATTTAATATTTTCTGCAATATGTGACTTTTAATTAAATGATGTCTCTTCATGGATACCAAAATATCAGTTTCTATTTGCTCTTTCGCAAAATGCAAAGACATTTAAACTTATGGATTGGCTTCGGCAGGTATATGAATGAAAGAACGATCAAGGCTTGCCGTTGGAGAAAAATGCCTGTTTATTGAGGCAACTCTGCATATTTATAGAGCCGGGGGTGGGGGGGGGTGTTTGACAGTTGAAACAGTTTAACAATTTAACAGATTTTTGGCAGTTGGCTTGAGGTGCGTTCTAATTGGTGGGTAAGGATCATGTGAGCCAGCAGGGTTCACCACTGGATGGCAGGATCATGTGAGCCAGCAGGGCTCACCATTGGACGGCTCTTCTTGGGGATGGGGAAGTTAGTCTTTGGAGCCGGGGCAACTCCCAACAATGAATAACCTAAAGTTATGTCAATTTTAAATGTGTGTATGTGAATGTGCACAATTTTTTCAAAAGATTTTCAAAGATCCATGACCTAAAAAGGACTGATTGCTCTAGACCAGAAAATCTGAACTATCTTCTTATTCCAATTTCAGTGACTCTATGAATCAAATTATCTAAGCCTAAGAAAAGTACTGTGTGATTTTATACAATTCAAAAACATGTAAATGCTTATTATAAATCTGATGTTATATTTATTTAGTCAGGGGCCAACAAAACAAGATCTGTGACATCAAGTTTTATAAAGAAAGTTTTACTGGAAAACAGCCATAGTCATAAATTTATTAATCATCCATGGCTGGTTCCACAGCATATCATTAGTGTGGAATAGTTGTTGTGATAGAAAACAGACAGCCTGCAAGTGGCCCTTTACCAAATAAATGTGTTTGCAAACCCCTCTGTTATATGACGTATATCAAAAATGACTAAATTTTAACTTCTGACCAAATAGGCACATGATTTTCAGTTTAATTATATTTTAAACGTTTCCAACTAAATGAGTTATAACATATCTACATTTATACACATACATACATCTTTTTTAAAAAAAATTTTTTTTAGTTGTAGTTAGACACAATACCTTTATTTTATTTATTTATTTTTATGTGGTACTGAAGATAGAACCCAGCGCCTCCCACATGCTAGGGAAGCGAGTTACCGTTGAGCCACAACCCATATATATATACATCTTCTGACCAAAAGAGTAAAGAAAAGGAAAGAAAATTAGATGACAAAAAAAGAAAAAGAAGCTACACAAGAGAACACAAATTCATTTCTGAGTATCCTATCAGGAAAAGAAAAGGAAGTAACTGTTTAATAATTTTTAAAAAATACTAGTTAATTAAAAGACTCTGAAAAATTAAAGGACAATACCCTTTAAAGCCATTTTAAGAAAATGAAGAAGCAATCCACAAATTTCTGCATCTTACAATGTTCTTCAATAAAAGCCAAAAACTATATAACTCAACACATGGAAAACTGAACAATCCAGCTCTCTATTTTAGACATGGTTACTTTATACTGAGATAAAGTACACAGAACTGAGGCAGGGATATCATTCAGTTTTAGTGCTCTTGCCTAGCATTCATGCACAAGGTCCTGACTTCAATCTCCAACACTACAAAAAATAAAAATAAAGTGCAGAGAATACAAAGAAAAGCATGAATAAATAACTAAATGAAACATCATCATTAAACTCTCTAAATGAAAATTGTCAGCATATCTTACAGAATATCCTAAGCACATGATTCAAGACCGTTATTAGTAGTCATTGAAGATCTCAAACTAAATGCATCATTAACTTAAATATCAAATCAGATTCAAATTCTTTTGATTTTCTCCCAGTAAAAAATATTACACATAATATCTCAGCACAAGCACGTGCACAGATACAAGTTTTTTGAAATATTACTATTACCACATGCCAATATGCTATGGTGTCTTCTATTCTACACCATATTTTTTTTTTAAATGACTAACATGATCCACTAAACTGTTTTAGCAATTCACTAATGGGTCAAGATTCGTAGTCTGAAAAAGACAGCTCTAGATAACGAAGCTAGAGTTTGCATGGATATGTTATATACTTCTTTTTCTTTTGGAAAGCCACCTACCCAGCAAAGTAGTAAAACCAGTGCCTATCTACTGACAATACCAAAACTTCACTCAAAAATCATCTCTGGCTGAATATAAATGCTCAAATTCCAAAACTGTAACCACAGATCCCAGAAGAAATAACCTTGACCCAGACATTTATCTCTACCATGAAAAAAAATATGATTCTCGAGCAGGATAAGGTTGCAAGAAATGAATCTTCAAATAACCATTTGAGTTTAACCTTTAAATAAAATGATTTACCATTTATCCAACTAGACTCTTAATACAGCCCTTGGCAGTATTCAGTTTAGCTGCTCGGACTCCCAGTAATTGGCCAATAGATTCGGTTACTTCTTAAAGTAACTTCTTGTGATTTATGTCAGTATAAAAAGACTATGTGTCTTCCTATTCAGTAAAGTAGAAAAGCACATGCTGCCAGGTGTAGTGGTGCACACCTATAATCCCAGCAGCTCGGGAGGCTGAGACAGGAGGACAGAGAATTCAAAGCCAGCTTCAACAATGGCAAGGCGCTAAGCAACCCGGTGAGACCCTGTCTCTAAATAAAATACAAAACAGGGCTGAGGATGTAGCTCAGTGGTTGAGTGCCTCTGAGTATAATCCCTAGTACCAAAAAAAAAAAAAAAAGACACGCTAACCCAAAACTACCTCAAGTAATTCAGGCAGAATACAATTCTGTCTTATGTCACTAAAAATAGGATGTTTTATATTCTGTTTTATGCAAGTAAAAATAGGCCAATGGAGGCTGCAGTTGTAGCTCAGTGATAGAGTGCTCACCTACCATACATGAAGCACTGGGTTCAATAGTCAGCACTTATATAAAAAATAGGCCAATGGTCACAATTATATCAGTCTGAATTCTAATATGGTTCTAAAGAGCTATTACATACATAAATAAAAATATCAGAAAATAAAAGTGATAATATACAAGCTCTTTCCAGTTATAAAATTCTGTTATTAGTAAATTTTAGAAATTCAGAATAATCCAGTCTTTTTTGTTACCAACGCACAAGAGGGAAAAAAAGACCATGAATCTTCATTACTAGAGGCTGTAAGAAAGAAATTCAAATAACAACTTGTTGAAAAAAACAAACCAAAATCTGAATGAAACCCACTTGTAGAATTCTGGCTCCAAAATGTTCTAGAAGTAGTTACCTGGTGGTAAATCAGGATCTGTAGGAGCAGCCTGCTGAATTTTTCGGGGTTTTACTGATGATTTTGTGTTCTCAGTAGCACTACGATTGGTAGAATTAGAACCAGAGCTTTCATGGTCATCCTATTTTTATTTTAAAGAAAGGAAAAAGAAACACATCAACTGCATTCAAGTCTAAGGAAAAATTATGATCGATATATACAGTACATGGATATTATACATTAGATATATTATTCTTATTTTTAAGCTCTAAAACCTGTATAATCAGCTGGGCATGGTGATGCACACCTATAAAGACCAGCAGCTTGGGTGGCTGAGGCAGGAGGATCACGAGTTCAAAAGCCAGCCTCAACAACAGTGAGGTTCTAAGCAACTCAGTGAGACCCTACAAAAGAGGGCTGGGGATATGACCCAGTGGTTGAGTGCCCATGAATTCAATCCCCAGTATCAAAAAAAATTTCACTTGAAAGCATTACTAACAGATTGAACTGCACAGAAAATAGAACTTCAACGCTTGAAGATATAACCTCGGGACTTGAAGACAGGATACATGAATTTGAATATACAGAATGCAACAATGGAAAAAATAATAAAATATGATCAAAATATACAATAATTCAGACAACTTTGAAAGACCAAACAGGAGAATCAGTCAGATAGAAGAGAAAATGGCGACACAACCTAAAATCATTAAGAACATTTTCAATGAAATAGTTACAGAAAACTTTCCCTATATTATAAAAGAGAGAGACATGTCCATACAGGAGGCATACAGGACTCCATATAGACCTAACCAGAAGAAAAGTTCTCCAAGACACATCATAATCAAAATGTCCAACATAGAAAATAAGATTAAAAGCTGCAAGAGAGAAAAAATCAGGTCCCATTTAGAGGCAAACAATTGGCTCATTTCAGACTTCCCTATTCAGACACTAATATTAAAGAGGGCATGGAACAAGATTTTTTCAAGATTTAAAAAACAAACAATTGCTAACAGGGATTACTATTCCCAGCAAAGCTCTCCCTCATATTTGATAGAGCAGTAAAAAGCTTCCATGACAAGAATAAATTAAATGAATACAGGACAAACCAGCACTACAAAGAATACTCAAAGATAAACTACACATAAAAGATCACAAAATTAAAACTCCCAAATAAATGAAAATCAATAGAAGGCAAATCATCTAAATGAAAACCACAGCAGAACTGAATAAAAAATGACAATGAACCCAATAACATAACCATAATAATACTGAATATAAAGGTTTCCAACTGCCCAATTAAAAGACACAGATTAGCAGAAAAAAAAATTTTTAAATCCAACCACATGATAATTGTAAGAGACTCATCTCATAACTAAGGACACTCACAGGCTAAAGGTAAAAGGATGAAAAACAATAGTCCATGCTAACAGACTCTGAAAACAGGCCAGAATGACCATTCTCGTATCTGTCAAAGTTGATTTCAAGCAAAAATTAGAAGAGCCAAAGAGGGTCATTACATTCAGGCAAAGGGAACAATCCAACAATAAGAATTAACAGTAGCTAATATACACGTCCCAAAAGTCAAGTGTACCCAACTACGTTTTAAAAATACCTTGACAATAAACCCAAGATAGACCCCAATATAATAATACTGGGAGATTTCAACACACTCTTATGATCAATAGACAGGTCATCAAAGCACAAAATCAATAAAGATATATCCAACCTAAATAATGCTATGAATCAAATGAACCTAACAGACATCTACAGAGTATTTCACCCCAAAACACCTGAACTTACCTTCTTCTCAGTAGCTCATGGAAAATTCTACAAAACATACCTCATTCAGTGTCACATATAACAGTAAGCAAATATAAAAAAATGATAAAAGCTCATGTATCATGTCAGAAAAGGGAATGAAACTAGAAATCAATAGCAAGAAACACAAATAAATGGAGATTAAATATCCTTTTAATATATGTGTGTGTGTGTGTGTGTGTGTGTGTGTGTGTGTGTGTATTAGTTGTAGATGGACACAATACCTTTATTTATTTATCTTTATGTGGTGCTGAGGATTGAACCCAGTGCTCCACACATGCTAGGTAAATGCTCCACCACTGAGTCATAAGCCCAGCCTTAAATACCCTTTTAAATGAAGAATGGATCAAAGTAAAAGTGAGAGAAGAAAAAGATTCTTAGAAACAAAAACAAAAATATATCAAAATTTCTGGGACAGTATGAAAGCAGTACAAAGAGGAAAGTTTATAGCACTAACTGCCTACATTAAAAATATGTAGCTGGGATGGGTCTATGGCTCAGTAGTAGTGCACTTGCCTGGCATGTGTGAGGCACTGGGTTCGATTCTCAGCACCACGTAAAATAAAGGATTATCAACAACTAAAAAAATTTTTTTATTTAAAAAAAAATATATGAAGCTGGGCACAGTGGCACATGCCTATAATCCCAGCAGCTTGGGAGGGTGAGGAAGAAGGATCACAAGTTTAAAGCAAGCCTCAGCAATTTAGCAAGACCCTAAACAACTTAGCGAGACTATGTCTCAAAAAAATAAATAAATAAAAGGGCTGGGGATGTGATTCAGTGGTTAAGAGCCCTTAGGCTCAATCCCTGGTACCAAAAACATAAAATAAGAGAGAGATCTCAAAAAAGTAAAATAAATCTATGCTCTACCTCAAGGCCTTAGACAGCAGAACACAGGAAATAATAAAGATCAGAGATTAAATTAATGAAATTGAGAATTAAAAAAAGACAATACACTGGACCAACACTAAAAAGAGTTGGTTCTTCAAAAGGATAAATAAAATTAATAAATCCATAGCCATTCTAACCAAAAGAAAGGGAAAGAATACCCAAATCAATAAAATTAGAGATGAAAAAGGACATATCATCACAGACTCTTCTGAAATGCATGGGATCATTATAAACTATTTTGAAAATTTATACTCTAATGAATAGCAAAAATCTAGAAGCACTGACAAAATTCTAGACACATATGACCTGACCAAACTGAATCAAGATACAGAAAACCTAAACAGACCAATATCAAATAATTCAAACAGCAATCCCTGATGAGCACACATGCAAAAATCCTCAATAAAATACTAGCAAAGTGCATTCCAAAAGATATTCAGAAGATAATACAACATAATCAAATGGGTTTTATTCTAGGGATATGACTCAGCTATTACACTATCACTCTTTGGTATTTATCCAAAAGAACTAAAATCAGCATACTATACTGACATTGCCACTTCAATGTTTATAGAAGTACAATTCACAATAGTCAAATTACAGAATCAACCCAGATGCCCATCAACAGAAGAATGTATCAATAATCATGGTATATATACACAATGAAGTTTTATTCAACCATAAATAAGAATGAAATAATGGCATTTGCTAGTAAACAGATGAAAATATAGAAAATCATGGCAAGTAAAATAAGCCAGATTCAGAAACTCCAAAGCAAAATGTTTTCTTTCATATGTGGAAGTTAGAGCAAAATAAGGTAAAGAAGGTGGCAAGAAAGGGGACTAAGTATCATAAAGATATAAAATAAATAGAGTAATAGAAGGAGAACAAGAAGGAAGGAGGAAAGAAGGTAAAGGAGTAGATATATAGAATAATAGCTTGTTACATACATATAAAAATGTACCGAAAAGAGTTTCACCTGTGTGTGTGTGTAGAAAATACCAATCAAAAATAAATGAATAAAGAAGTTAAAGGAAGATCAATAAAAGAAAGGAGAGAACACAGTGGGGAATAAGGAGGGGGATATGGGGATCAAAAATCAATTTTTTTGCATGTATTATTTTGTCCAAATGAATGCAAATACTACGTATAATTATAATGCTCTAAAAAATACAAAATTTTAAAAGTACATGTGTGTGTGTTAAAAAGAAATTGTGGTATATACAGTAGAGTTCTAGTTAGACATAAAGAAGGATGAAATTACAGCATTTGCTGGTAAATGGATGGAAATGGAGAACATCATGCTAAGTGAAAGATGGCAGACTCAAAAGTTGAATATTTTCTCTCATATGTGGAAGCTAGAAAAAGGAGAAGGGAAAGATATCATAAAGATATAGGGAAATGAGGCTGGGGTTGTGGCTCAGCGGTAGAGCACTTGCCTAGCATGTGCAAGGCACTGGATTTGATCCTCAGCACCACATAAAAATGAAACAAATAAAGGTATTTTTTAAAAAGATATGGGGAAGGTCAATAGTGGATAAGGATATTGGGAAGCAGAGTGGAAGGACAGGAAAAGGGAGGCAATGAAGAATAAAATATTTTAAAATCATGTTATGTGCATATATAATTTATGCAAGGGAATTTTACCTTTAAGTATAATTATAAAAAACCAATCAAAAATAAGGAGATAAGGGCTGGGGTTGTGGCTCAGTGGTAGAGCACTTGCCTAGCATGTATGAGGCACTGGGTTTGATTCTCTGCACCTCTTAAAATAATAAATAAAGACATCATGTCCATCTATAACTAAAAATATTTTCTTTTAAATTAAAGAAGGGGCTAGGGTTGTAGCTCAGGGGTAGAGTGATCGCCCAGCACGTGCAAGACTCTGGTTCAATCCTCAGCACCATATAAAAATAAATAAATAAAATAAAGGTATTGTGTCCAACTACAGCTAACAAAATATTTTTTTAAAAAAATTAAATAAACAGATAAGCAAAAGGAAGTCTAGTAGAGTTGAGGAAGAAGAATGAGGTGAGAGGATAGGGCAGGGAGGAAAGGAGAGATCATGAACTAAATCAAATTCCATGCATGCATGACTTTCTCAAGATGAACACAACTAATATGCATAACTATAATGCTCCAATTTAAAAAAAAACTCAACTGAAAGCTTCATTAATAGATTACATTAAGTGCAAGAAGGACTAGCAGGTCTTAACAAGACTGATAATTTATCAATTCAGACAGCAGTAAAGAAAAAAAAAAGAAGAAAATATATAAGAATTCTGAGATACCATCAAGAGACCAAACATACAAATAATTGGAATACACAAAGGAGCTACTACAGAATGAAAGCACAGAAAGGGTATTCATGAAATACCAGAAAAATTCTCACAGCTTGGGAAAGACCTGGACATATAGCATAGGACACAT